GCTTTAGCTCTGAGGCCTCGCTGCTGAAAACATAGATACAATGTTGAGGTCTGAGCCCGGCTGAATGGAAGCCCTTTTCTGGGGTTTTGTTTAGCTTCTTATTTGCAACATAGTATATAGTTGCTTAGACTTGCAGATGAGAGGCCGGCAAGTGAGGCGGCGAACGTTGGAATCTGCAGCAAGCAAGCCTCCCTGCTCGCTTCAGTGCCTGGCTGCCGGCCGCCATCTTGGCTGACAGTTAATTTGCATATACTCACTGATTAGCCAATGAAAAGGGTAGCGGTCGTACGCTAATTACCATGTTTCTCTTTTATTAGTTTAGATATATATAGTCTAATATGTAAAGTATCCCCTTGGGAGTTCGACCGGGAGACTGTGAGTTCAATCACTCACTATGACATGCGTTGACCACCAGGGGGCAGCGCGGAACATGGCGGGTGACCAGCATAGGCGGCTGGGCACTAAGGGAGCGAGGGAAGGAGGAGGCAGGGAGCAGGGAACCTGATGGGCCCTGATCACCAGCCAGGCCTAGGGACCCTATCCATGCCTCTAGTCCTTAACATATAAATAGTTCATACAAACCAATATCTAGAACTTGATTGCTATTACTAAAATTATAATAGCAAAATAGGATAGTGAAGAATATGAGTGAACAATTTTCAAAACAAGAAGTAAGATGGGTAATACACAATCAATATTTTTCATCCACAATAGAAAAATGCAACTTAAAATAAGAAACATTTGGAATGCACTGCATCCAGTGTTAGAGGAAATGCTCATTTGCATAACCTTTCTGGATTCAGTTTGGTAATACATTATCAGTAATCTTCAAAAAGTCCTTTAATTTAACAATTTCACTTGTTATCTGTCATTATGAAACAATCAGAAAAACAGGAAGTTGTGTGCCAAAATGCTCATCATAGCAATATTACAGAGCAAAAAATGAAAACAATGTAATTGTTCCATAATGGGTTAATAAATTAGGGTATACACATAAAATGAAGTAAGATGTATCATTAAAAATACCATTTTTAGGTCTTAGCCGGTTTGGCTTAGTGGATATGGCATTTGCCTGTGGACAGAAGGGTCCAGGTTTGATTCTGGTCAAGGGCACATGCCGGGTTGTGGGCTAGATCCCCAGTAGGGGGCGATCCTGCAGGAGGCAGTGGATTAATGATTCTCTCTCATCATCATTGATGTTTCACTCTCTCTCCCTCTCCCTTCCTCTCTGAAATCAATAAAAATATATATATTTTTTAAAATAGCATTTTTAGTATTTTACTAATAGTGACATGGAAATGAGCGGGATAAAATATGGCATATGTATATATGAATCAAATTTGTTTAAAATACACACAGAGAGACGTGCATTCAAAAAGGACTTCTTCAGATTTCTAGAATAAATATGTATTTATAGTCTTTATACTTTAAAAAACTATTTTTAAAAATAAGACAAAAAGGAAAGTGTCATAATGTTAATGATATATATTCATATTTTTCAGTATTTCTAGTGGTTGGACTTGCCTAAATTTTAAATTTTATTTGATTTGTGTATGATTCTAATCATGGAAGTAGAATTCAGAAAATTCGTTAACTAATTTCAAATAAGTTTTTTAAATAAAATTTTTATTTTATTTTTTGCATTTATTATTTTTTAATCTTTATTGTTGAAAGTATTAGATATGTCCCCTTTCCCCCTATTGACCTTCATTGCCCTATTGTCTGTGTCCATGGGTTATGCATAAATGCATACAAGTTCATTGGTTTATCTCTTCCTGACCACACACCCTCCTCTGCCTTCCCTCTGCGGTTTGACAGTCTGTTAGATGCTTCTATGTCTCTGGATCTATTTTTGTTCATCAGTTTATGTTGTTCATTAGATTTCACATATGAGTAAGATCATGGGATACTTATTTTTCTCTGACTGGCTTATTTCACTTAAATAAAAATTTTAGATGCAAAATATAACAGGAAAACAAAAATTGAACCAGTCATTATACCTGGAATTTTTTATGTTAAGCATAAGGTGTCACAAATGAATCATAAGTGGGGTGCTTCTTTTAACATATACTAGCTGTTTAAGGCTTGAAATAAATTTAGTATGTTTAAAAAATAAGTCCTTCATTATTTCTTCAGTGTTTCTTTTCCCTTGGAATCCTGCATCCCATTATGTAACTTTTCTCATTTTCCAAATGATTTAAGCTTTATTTTTGTCCAAAGTATTTGAAGTGCTTAGTAATCATTTCTTCTATTAATGCTGTGCTCTCAATTTTTTTATTTTTTGCTTTCTTTGTGTTCATTCTTATCTTTAACAGGGTCTTCATCTTTTAGCCTGACAACTCTAGGCATTTCCAAGGCCCAGTTCTTGCCCAGTGCTCTAAACTTTGTATATTTTTATCTTCAGAGAGCAGATTCATTTTTAGGTGTTAAGTACTACCATAAATATGGCTTACTTCTAGGAACCTAATTTCTTATTCTTTCTTTAGTTTTGTTTTCAAATATTAAGTTTTTTTCCAAATTTGAAATCAAATGTTGCCCAAAAATAGAATACATCCTTTTCCTTATGCTGGCATCCATTTCTAGTTTTCCTTTCATTGACGGTCATATCCAGTATCTTAGGCCTCTAGACTAGTAATTCTGACCTTCTTTCTCACCCTTATTCCCCTCAGGAAATTTGTCAAACTATAAAACAAATGGTCTTTCATTGAAAAACATTTTATATTGAAGTGCTTATTACAATTTGCTGGAAAAGTCTCCTAATGAAATGGGTGTCAGTCGAAAATATGCTGGTTTTTATCTCTCCAGTTCACACTGTTACATAATCAGAGCTCTGATTCTATTTTTCATAAATTAGGAATTGGTTCCATTTTTAAAAATCTGTGTATTTCTATAGCATATACTTCTGGTACACAGACTAAATTTATAATGTAATATGACTAGTAGGAAAAATAAAGAATATTGGAATATTATTTATTTCCAGAAAATGAGTACATATCAAAGATTTTATTTAACTTACTAAGGGAGCCAAGCAGATATTACAGCAGGTTCAAATGAATTTCTTGCATTTTTATTTATAACACACTGACTTTTGGGAATTTGAATTCTCTTTTTTAAAGAACAATACCCATTTATTTGTGCAAATTCTATTATTGTGAGGTCCCTTTCTCATCTTTTCTGGAAATGTTTTCTTATTCATAGAAAAAGCATCTGTGTGTCTTCAGTTGAAATGTTTTCCAATGAGGCTTCAACTAATTTGGGAAAGAAAATCAGGAGAAGCCAGTTATACTATATTTCTTAACTAAAGTTTACTTTATTCTAAAAAGTATTTAGTACATACTCTTTTAGTACTGGTGATACATTATAAGATTATAAGAGCTTACAATTTGGGTGGAGAAAAAAGACTCAACTTCATAAGAATTTATATATATACATATATATATATAAATCATTATCCTGTATAATAAATTGGTAATATGCAAATTAACCCTCACATCCTCACAAGATGGCTGCCTATGACCAGGCCAGCAGGGAGGTTAATGAGGGACGACCAAAGGACTGAACAAGCAGGCTGCGTGGGGCGACCAGGCCGGCAGGAGGGTTAGTGAGGGACAACCAAACGACT